GCACAGACATAATGCAGATGTTGCATAATCCTTGTCAATCATGCCCCACGCACGAGCCCTATCACAACTCAGAAGTCTCATGCGACAAAAGTGATGCTTGTGTTCTTTTTGAGCAATGCTACATACACGACACTATTTGTACGATTTGTATACGATGAGCCTGCTGAGCCCTTTCATCATGTTAGATGCGTGGATTAGTACATTTGGATCAGTCGTCGTGCAAGGAGCGGCTAGCAAACTGTCTGTTCTTTTTGGGGTTCCTTGTTCTGAAAGGGAAACGATGCCCATGGGATGACAATTACGGGCGAACCAAACACGTACGCTGTGGTTAGGCTTTAAACTTGTGGCTTCTAATCTTGTACCGCAAAGCTAAGTTGGCATGGGTTTGACAAGACGTGATATGATTCCGTTCCTTGAAGTTGTTTTTGGGCATGGATTTGAAAAAGCCAATGACGTGATGCGGCCAGTGCTTCCCCGGAAACGGCTCGCTGTAACTCCTACTTCCTTCGTTCTTAAATATTTGCCTTTATAGAGATTTTAACAAGTAACTATATACAAAATAAAATGAGTGAATCTACATTCTAAAATATGGCTACCTACAGCCGTATGTTGTATTTCATTTGAATATATAAAAAGACAGACAAATACTCCCTCCATTCGTAAATAGTTGTCTTTTTAGAGGTTTTAAATAATGACTACATACAAAATAAAATGAGTGAATCTATACTCTAAAATATGTCTATATACATCCGTATGTGGTGACCATTCGAAATCTCTAGAAAGACAAATATTTTTAGAGGTTTCAAATAATGACTACATACAGAGTAAATGAGTGAATCTATACTTTAAAATATGTCTATATACATCCATATGTGGTGACCATTTGAAATCTCTAAAAAGACAAATATTTAGAAACGGAGAGAATAATTATTTTGTGCTTAACTTGACCAAGCATGACACATCTAACAACCCTGTTAGTTGGTGCACGTGATGCGAATTATGTGCAGTCCAGTCCTTGAAATATGTCTAAACTTGAGGGCTGCGCGAAGCAACTCTTAATACGGTGCACGTACGCAATTTCTTTGTGCACGTACGGTGGGCTTTTTCCCAGAAAAAAATAAATTTAATATCGTTGTAGACACATGACCCACATATCAGATATTAAACTAATAAAAACAGATACTACAAACAAAAGGCACAAATTTAACCTCAGGTCGAAACTATTTCACAAACTAAACTATTCTTAAAAGTATTTCACCCAGCTGACATTTAATGTGCAGCGGAGCAGTATGAAATATTTTCTAAAACAGTTTAGTTTATAAAATACTTTCATTTTAAGGTCAGATTTGTCAATTTTGCCGATACTACATTTGATCTTAGCCAAAAGGCCGAAAAAGGTATGAGTTGTTGTGCTGCCCTCCGCCTCCTTTTATAGGCTCGTCGAGCGACTCCACCGCTCCCCGCGAGCAGTGGGACTAAACGAACCAGCAGCTGCGCCTCGTGAGCTGCTGCCTCTGCGCTTCCGGCTGACCAGCCGTTTTGTGAGGGCTTGAAGTTGAGGCCCAATGCGAAGATACCAGCCCATAATGCCCCATATGCCTAGATGGCCCAGTGAACTAGACTGGACCGTTCCCTTTTTTCGCTTGAAAGTTCGAAGCTTGCACATTGCTCGGGAGGAAAAAAAAGAGGATTTCAGTGCCATCTTTGCCTTTGTGTATATCCGTTGTGTCCTCGTGGTGGTGTGTTCTTTTCTCGGATGAAACTTTCCTCGTGGTGGTGTTAGTCAGATGATGCAATTTTCCCTCATAGTTTAAAAAAG